AAATTCTCCTCTCTGCAAAGAATTTAGATTTTACCCCCATTTTCCCCCAGGGTTATCCGCCACGCGTTTCGATTGGGAATTCACATGTGATAGTGACCCTTCGTTCATTTTCCCCGTGAGTTCGTACCATCCCAAGCCAGCCGCTATGGACCCCCCCCCTGCCACCCTCTGCAAAACATACTATGCGCGCGCACTTGTTGATCAAAAACCGTAAGCATCCAAAAATCCCTTGCAAAAAAACATGAGCGAAATACACACACGCGCGCGTCGGGCATGTCGGGCGCGCGTCGGGCATGCCGCAACTCTCGGTTTCGGAAAAATTCAAACTCGAGTGTCAAAAAACATATGAAAACAAAAGGGGTTCGCAACAGGGAGTTTTAACACAAGCGTGCGCGCGCGCTCTTGCGAAGTCTTAGGAAAACCCTGCGTTTTCCCACATGTTCATAATAGGGTTACCAAGCGGGCTTCACGCGCGCATGTCGACATCAATCGAACGCCTTTGCGCGCGTGCTGGGGTGGCACGATCCGTTTCAAATAATACCATGCGAACCACTCTCGCGCGTCTGCCGCGCGCGCGTGTCGAATTCCATCCAGAACCTTAATCACCGACGCGAAAACACCGCCATCGTCGTCGGCATGATTGGCATCGGCGCCGTCACTGGCCGTGCCGTTCGTCGCTGTCAGCATCGTCGCCAACAACACTACAATCATCATCGTCGTGTCTACAATTGTCGACGTTGCCATGATACCGCGCCCGCCCAACTCGCCGACTCGTACTCAAATGCCCGCTGGGATGTGCCGAGCGGTCAGCACCACCGCGGCCGCGTCGGTCGCGCCAAACTACCTGGCCGGTGCGCGCGCGCGCATGCGCGGGCTGGCGCGGCCGAGAAATGCACCAGCCAGCGCAAAGCACTCATCGCAATCGCCGCTGCATGAGGTTTGCAACCCAAGTTGCGGGTGGGTGGGTGGGATGTTTACGCGAACGCTGGAGTGGACAACTCACTGTGAACAGAAATTACTTGCAATGTATAGTTTGCACAGCGTAGATTGTGAATCAGCGATTGCACAACATGTATTGTTCAACATACGTTGCTTCACAGATGCTGCACAGCCTAGACTGCAACACGCACGCACACGTTGCTCCACGGGCATTGGACAACATAGCTGGCACCACACAGACTGCACCACATATATTGCACGACTGATATTGCACAATATATATTTCACCATGTATATTGCCCCCACATAGATTGCGCATGATAGACTGCACAACATATATTGCACATACATTGCGCAGCAAAGGTAGCACCATACGGACTATTCCACGTAGAGAGCACAGCATATATAGCGCACGATTCCCCAATCAGTGTTTACACTGATCTGGGGTGCGAGCGGCCATAGAAAACACTGGCGACAGAAGCCGGCCGATTTCGGTGGGCGTCTCTCGAAGGGCCGCTTTCGGTGGGCGCACCTTTACAAGATTGGCGAAAGTAGCCCGCCGACTTCGGTGATCGGCTGTCGGTGGGCGGCTGTCGTGGGCGCCCCCTCTCTTTCCCGCATGTTCTCCTTCGTTGTTTCCCACATCCAAAATGTGGTTCTTGTTTTGTTTGGACACCCCACGCAGGAACCAAAACACACACTGCATCATCACCCACTCACTCACTCACTCATTCACTCACTACCCACTCACCATCATCACTCATTCACTTGGTCATCACGCCGCCATCACTCACACACACACACACACTTAGCACCATCAACAACACTAGCATCACCACCACATGATCATAACATCAATGTAATCATCACCACTCACTCACTCACTCACCCACTCGCTCCGTCTCACCCTCTCACTCATCACCATCACAATCATAACCGTCATCACTCCCACACCAACTCACACTCATATCCACTCACACAGACCATCTTGATCACCTTGACCATCACTCGATGACTCACTCATCATCTGCATCATCCTCACCATCATCATCGCTCATTCACTCACTCACTCACCCACTCATTCGTTAGCTTGAATATGAGGAAATATCAGGTGGGATGCTCGCCTGTGAGCGAATTGCGAAGACATTCCAGGCGGGAGCCCTCCCCCAGTGTGGGGCCCGCATTTCATGTTTTTTAGCCGACCTGGTCATCCTCGAACCTCTAACTGTCGTCAATTTTGGGCTCCTGATGCTTGAACATGGGGAAAGTATCAGGCGGGCGGCTCGTCTGTGAGATAATTGCGAGGAAGTCTCAGGCGGGAGTTCCCTCCCTATGGGGCCCGTACGTCATGTTTTTTAGCCGAGCGGGTCATCCTCGAACTTGTAATTGTCGTCATGTTCGGGCTCCTGAGGCCTGAATATGGGGGGAATATCGGGCGGGGGGCTCGTCTGTGAGTTAATCGCGAGGAGATTTCAGGCGGAAGCCCTCTCCCCATGGGACCCGCACCAACTCATGAATCAAACTCTCAAGGCACTCTTGCGAAACTGCGGCCGGGCATGGTGCTTGCAAAGCTTTCGGGCCATCCACTAAGTGGTTTTCTTCGGTACCTATATATATATATATATATTAAAAAATGTGACACGTTTACAATCTACCTTGCACCACATATCGAATAGCACATACAATTGCGCCACCTATGTGCACCACAAATGTTACACAACAATTCTTGCATTCCATACAATTGAACCACCTATATTGGGCAGCGCTGACAGCACCACAAGGTTCCAACAATTCCGTGCAGCAAATGAGACGACGTGCGCACGCCCGCGTCGTCGCGCGCGCATGCCGACATCGAGCAAAAACCGCAGGTGTGGTAGAACATTGTTTTCAACAAAGTTCCGGAAACGTATAAAACGCCTGGATTCGCAATAAAAGGGTTCTCAAAAAATAAAAGCCTGCGCGCGCGCTCTTGCAATCGAACTCCCGCGCGCGCGTGTCGACATCTTCCAACCACCTCAGGTGTCGTAGAGATTTCAGAAACGACTGCCCCGAAAACATGTTTTCAATGAGCACGGTTTCGCAGCAGGGGCCTTCAAAAAACATGCGCGCCTGGTGTTGCGATCTATCTTCGGGCCTCTCGCGCGCGCGTGTCCAAATTGCTCGAATGCCCTTGCGCGCATGTGTCGCGGGAACCTCTGACAAAAAAGCGGGATGGCGAGCAAATCGTTCAAGAACCTTGGGTTTCGCAAAGAGTTTCAAAAACGGTGGTCCCGAGCACGTATCAAACGACATATGGTTCTGCACATCCGTTTTCAAAAGAGCCTGCGTTCGCGACCCTGGGGGTTCTTTTTTAAAAAACAACCATGAATGTTTCAACCTGTTCATCCAATTCTGCCAAGCGGGCCTCTCCCACGCGGCCACGCGAGCCACTCGCGCACGTCGGCCGCGCGCGCACGTCGAACTTTTTCAAAAACCTGCATCGCGACGCAGGGACATCGTCATCGTGATCGGCGAGCGTGATCAACATCGGCGCCATGATTGGCTCTGCCGTCAACATCGCCACCTTCGTCACCATCATCGCTACTCTCATCATCGTGTCTACCGTTGTCGGCGTCGCCAAGTCACCGACTCGCACTGAAGTGACCGCTGGGAAATGCCCAGCGGTCAGGGCCACCGCGGCCGCGTCGGTCGCGTCAAATTGGATGGCCGCTGTGCGCGTGAGCGAAGTGATGCACCAGCCAACGCCCAGCACTCATCGCAGTCGCCGCCGCATGAGGTTTGCAAACCAAGTTAGTTGCGGGTGGGTGTGTGGGATATTTGCAAGAGCATGGAATTGTCAACTCGCTGGCAGAAACCAGTTGCACCATACATATTGCACAACGTATGTTGCCCATTACATTTTGCACCAAGTAGATTGCACCACAAAGATTGAACGACAGCGGCTGCACCACATAGGTTGCTCCACATATATTGCATCACGCAACTTGCAATACATAGACTGTACCACCTAGAGTGAACAACATAAATTACACGTCGTCTATTACACACCATATACGGCACAACAAAATGTGCATTCAATAATTGCAGCACATAGATTGCTCCACGTCAAAAGCACTACATCGATTGCTCCACATGGAAAGCACCACGCTGATTGCTAGAAACATACTGTTTGGGGTACACGCTAACTAAAATCAATTATTTCCAGTAATTGTCCTTACCTGGGGGACCCTGATCATGCATTAGCGGAATGTCCAATCGCAACCGACAAAAATCGGTCGCTGCCGATTTTGACTCCAATTCTGGTGTCGGTCGCGACCGCTTGGCCTCAAAACCGGTCGCGAACACTCGGTCGCGACCTATGTGGAGCGCCGATCGGTCGCGAACGATCGCGACCCGAAAAGATTTATGATGTCCAACGAACTGGGGAGGGGGGGATGGCATGGGGCCCCGGGTAACAGCAACGCTTGGGCGGGGTGAGGCACCTCGGGGCGGGGGCGCACTGCAATCGCCGCAGTGTGCGCGCGAGCTCCACTGGCCATCGCTCGGACGTCCATTCCCTGTGTTTTTTGTCGGTGTCGTGCGTCTGTGTCCTTGGAGAAGGCTTGGGAAGCATCTCAGAATAATGCAGGCCTTCTGAGCCTTGTGGCAAGGCATGCCCCCTTGGCCTTCATCCCCTGGGCGCGCCGCTGATTCACCTTTCTCGTGCCAGGTCTATCGGCCGTCGGCGAGCCTTCGAAATACCCGACAGGCATTGCTTTGTTTTGCTCTGATTGCGGTGCTGGCTGCGCCCTTACTGGAGCTGCCCCTGAGGATGCATGCCTCGCGCCTGCCTGTTCCGTTTCTTTCGGCTTCGCGCGAGCATGACACTGGGCACGAGGGACCTTTGATGCGTGGCTAGCTGATCGGTTAATGCGTGGCTAGCCGATCGGTGTGTTCGGTGCGACAGTGGCGGCATGCGCGCTTGGGCTTGCCCCCCCCCCCCACCCACCACCACCACTCCGGAGAGGCCGCGCACCGGAGGTCACTCCGAAGGGTCACTCTCCCGTGCGGCCGACTCTTTTTTTCCTTCCATCCACAACGTGTGCCTGCGCGCAAACGATTGGATACGCGAACAAGAGGGCGAGGAGCCTCGCTCAATATGAAGCACCATAATTCGTATGGAAATTTGACTGCCACGCCTCAGATCGGATTGGCAAAGCGACCTTGGAAACGGATGCGAATAGTTGCCTGTCGGTTTCAAGGGCGAATGGCTCAAGCCAGCCAATCCTCCACCGAGGCCTCAAAGTCACTCTGCAAGTCCCTCACCTGCCTTACGCGGATGGTCTTGATTGTGTACGAAACGCCCTCGCCCTCTGGCGTGAAGGCGTAGAAACACGACTGCGCATTTGTGTTTTGATCCACATGCCCCTGAAGACAACGTTGAATTCTATCTTCCGCTTCGGCCTCTGACACGCAATAATCCTTGTAGCACGGAGACGCCCTGCCGCATCTCGATGTCTGAATTGAGGCGGCCGGTTGCTCAATCCCAACTCGGTTGTATGTCGAGCGGAGAGCCCGAATGTCTGTCCAGTGATTACCAACGAACCTGAACTCGGTCCTGCCTCCGTTGCAATGGTAGTAGTCGGAGGTAAGCTTGCGGTTGACTTGGATCTGGAACGCTGCCGCGTCCCATCCGCCGCCAGGCCTTATGGCCCCGCCACCATTAATGAACTTGAACAAGCCAGCGTAATTCACTGCGTTTGCATTTTTCAATCTGTAGCTCGCATCAAACGCATTCTCCGTGACGCGGAATACCCAAAATGAATCCGTCCATTCGGAGGACCTTGTATTGTCGCAGCACCAAGCCTTGAACTTGTCCAACTTGCCGATCTCACCTGTCCTGCTCGCATTAGCCTGCCCAGCGATCTCTGCGTTTGAAGAGCCATTGGTCTCCAAAAGTGCCTCATCCTTCTCGAACGCCTCCGGGTCCATTCTCTCCACCTCCGCGCACGTGTGGCACACGCCGTCCACGCATGGGCCACGCTGGTCCTCCGCCTCTCGCTGCTTGACCACCTGCCCGCGCCCAAAAACTCCGAGCGCCACCTTCTGCCCAGCGTCCTCGCTATCCGCCCCCACGCCCTCAGAGGCCGCCTCGGACTCGTCCAACTCGAGGGCGACGTCGCTGAGCGCAGAAGGTCGGGCGGCGGACGCGGGGCCGGCAGCGAGTGCCGAGAGCGCGAAGCCTATCAAGGCGGCGCGCGGCATGACCACGCGGAAACCGGACGCGGACTGCGAAACGTATGATGTTTGGCTGGCCAGAGAAGTAACTTGCGCAAAAGGGGGCTCACGTGTGGCCAGCTCTTGGGACGCCTCTTATCATCCGCCACCGTACATCTGGGCACGGAGTGGGCGTGTTCTCGGGTCCTTTGCCTAAACCTCTAAGCTTTAGTCCTCACTCCTTGATATTGCAGGGCCTGGACTCAAAAATCCAAAATCTACCGGGGCTCGGCACAGTTCCCCTGGGTCCCCCCGCATCTTGTCGCGTCACATCTTAGGGCCCAAGAGGGCCCCAAGACGAGCCAAGAGGGCTCAAAGAGGTCCGCCGAGCAAGACGGCCCAAGAGGGCCCCGAGTCGCCGAACGATCGCTCCAAGACGCTCAAGCTGGCCCCCACACCGCCCAAGAGGCCTCCAAGAGGCGTCCAGCCCAAATCATTGATTTGCCTCAGGTTATTGAAAATTTTGGCGTTCTCACCGTTTCGGCTTCCCGACGCTCCCAGACGGTCCTGGGAGGCCCCCCAAGACCGCCCCCAGACTGCCAAAGAGGCCTCCGAAAGGGCCCCAAAACGGCCCAGGAGGGCCCAAAGGCGGCACACGAGGCGCCCCAAAACTACCCGAGAGGGCTCGAAGACGTCCCCAACAAAAGGCGCCCAAGAGAGGGAGCACGAACCGACAAACCGAGCCTTCCGCCCCAAGAGGCCCCCAGGAGGCCTCAGAAGGCGCCGAGGAGGCCCAAAGAGGCCTCCAAGAGGCCCCTCAAGAGGCCCCAAGAGGTCCCCAAGAGACCCAACAGAGGCCCCACGAGGCCACAAAACGGCGATCAAGATTCCCAGCCAAGACGGCCCAAGAGGTCTCCAAGAGGTCCTCCAGAAGGCCCGAACAGGCCAAAATCATTGATTGTCCTTCGGGTTTTGAAGGATGTTGGCATTTGCTTCTCTTCGGTCCTCCGGCGGCCCGAGACTGCCCAAGAGCCCCCAAAGATTGCCCCAAGATCGCCCAAGATGCCTCCAAGAGGGCACTAGAACGGCCCAAGGGCCCCCAAGACTGCCCCAAAAGGGCTCCGAGACGGCCCAAGAGGCCTCGAAGACGCCCAAGATGGCCTCCAAGATGGGCCTGGAGCACCCCTAGAGGGCCCTAAGTCGGCCCAGAGAGGAGGCCCTCAAGACGGCTTCCGAGGTCGTCAGAAGGGCCAGGAGCCACCAAGACGGCCCACGATGGCTCCAAGATGGCCCAAGACGGCTCAAGAGGCCTCCAAGAGGTCTCCAAGACGGCCGGAGAGGCCCACAAGAGGTCCTCCAGGCAGGCCCGACGAGGCCAAAAGCATTGCTTTGCCTTAGGTGTTCGAAGGATGTTCGCATCTGCTTCTCTTCGGTCCTCCGACGGCCCGAGACGGCCCGAGAGCTCCCAAAGATTGCCCCGAGATCGCCCAAGATGCCTCCAAGAGGGCACCAGAACGGCCCAAGGGGCCCCGAAGACAGCCCCAAGAGGGCCCCAAGACGGCCCAAGAGGCCTCGAAGACGCCCAAGATGACCTCCAAGATGGCCCTGGAGCACCTCAAGACGGCTTCCGACGGCGTCAGACGGGCTGCCTTAAGACGGCCCGAGACGGCCTATGAGCCCCCAAAGGTCACCCCAAGATCGCCCAAGAGGCCTCCAAGATGGCCCTAGAACGGCGCAAGAGGCCCACAAACCTGCCGCAAGAGGGCCACAAGACGGCCCAAGAGGCCCCCCCAAACGCACAAGATGGACTGCAAGACTGCCCTGGAGCACCGCTTGAGGCCCCAAGTCGGCCCAGAGAAGCCCTGAAGACGGCTTGCGACGGCGTGGGACGGGCAAGGAGGCCAACAAGACGACCAAAGATGGCCTCACGATGGTTCAAGACGGCCCAAGAGGCCCCGAGGAGGTCTCCAAGACGGCCCCAGAGGCCCACAAGAGGCCTCCAGGAAGGCCCGAAGAGACCAACATCAGGTGTTTGAAGGAATTGGGCCTTCGGCCTTCCGACGGCCCGAGACAGCCCGAGAGCTCCCAAAGATCGCCCCAAGATCGCCCACGAGGACTTTCAAGTTGGCCCCAGAACGGCCCAAGAGGCCCCGAAGACGTCCCCGAAGACAGCCCCAAGAGGGCCCCAAGACGGCCCAAGAGGCCTCGAAGACACCCAAGATGGCCTCCACGATGGCCCTGGAGCACCCCATGAGGGCCCCAAGTCGGCCCACAGAGGCCCCCAAGATGGCTTCCGACGGCGTCAGACGGGCCAGGACTGCCCTAAGACTGCCAAAGAGGCCCCCGAGAACCCCCCGAAGGCCCCCAAGACGCCCAAGGAGGCCCCCAAGATACCTCCCAAAGGCTCCCAGGAAGCTCCAAGGAGGCCTCAAGAGTGCCCCCAGAGGCTCCCAAGATGCCCCCTCTTCTTCTTCCTCCTCCTCCTCCTCCTCCCCCTCCTCCTCCTCCAGCCCCCTCTGCCCGAGGTCGGTGTTTCAGGGGCGGCCGCGCCGAGGATGCGCATTCATACCCCGCGTCAGGAATGGCGCGCCCTCCTCTTGCGATGTTGCGGCGGCGGCAGTCGAGCTTGGCGCTGTCGCTGCTACTGATACTCTGGAGTTTCTGGCCATGGCCTGTTGCTCTCCCAGAGATGAAGTTCATTCACTGGAACGCTCAGAACGCCAGCTCGGAGGAGAGGCTGTGTGATATCTCTGCTGAATTTCGCTACGTTGATGTGATCTGTCTGAGCGGTACGGGCGAGCGGAGAGGAGATGTCGATATCATTCGTACGACGCTGCCCTGCCACCCTGCTCTTCGGTCAGGCTGGAGTCCCAGCCCCCACGCGAACAAGGGTTGCGGCTGTACTATTCTTCTTCGCAGACGTGTGTTTCGATCTCCGCATCTAGTGGACACCCCTCCTGTGCCAGAGTTGCTGAGAGGTCGGGTCGCCATCGCACGCCTGAGGAGCGGACGGTTCGACATCCTTGTGCCGACAGTATATTTCCCGCGGAGACCGTCGGCGCGACGCTCAGCCCGAGAGTCCGCGCCCACTGGCACCCAGCACCTGGCATACAAGCGCACCGCCGACGCGATCTGCGACTGGATCGAGGAGACGCTGACGTGGGCGCGAGGGCGGTCGGCTCTGTTTTTCGGGTTCGACCTCAACGACGGGCCCGGCATACGCCAGTGCGGGCAGCAGGTCTACGAGCAGGTGACCTCGTCGGCGCTGGGCCCGCACGGCCGTCAACTACAGCACTACGCTGGTGACAAGATGCTGGAGCTGATGGAGAGTTTCGCCCTGCGGAGTGTGACCAGCGACTTCGACGTGGGGCCCACCTACCGCGGCGCGCGGAGTGCCTCGTTCATCGACCACGTCGCGGTCTTCGCTTGGCAGACGCCGTCCGTCGAGAAGGTGATTCCGCTCAAGAGCGCCAACTTGAGATTGAAGCTCATCCCTCGTCCTGGACTGCAGGATCATGCCCCGATTCTTATGAAGGTCATCTACACGCTGCAGGCGCCACCACCGCGCAAGCGGACGATCTGGGACTTCCATCGGCTGGGGCAGGCGCTGCAGTACGGCACGGGCGTCGCGGCGTTTGCTCGCGAGCTGGAGGACGAGTTCTCGCGACATCCCGACTACTTCCACGCGCTCTACGACGCGAAGGCTCCCGACGAGGCTTGGGATCGCTGGATCGGTCAAGTCTCAGAAGCCGCTGCAAAGCACTTCTCATGCCGCGCTCCCGTGGCCCCTCGGGCGCAGCGACTGCGTGAAGAGCGGCTCCAACTGCTTGCAGACCGTCGGGCCGTTCGTGAAGCTGGTGGCGATCCCGAGGCGCTGGCGTTCAGTCTCGCGCGGGCGTCCCGTCGTCTGCGGGCGCATCGTCGTGAGCGCCGCGACAGCGAGGTGCAGCTGCTGGTCGACGACATGCACGAGGCCTGGCAGAAGCGGCAGTTCGCTGAGGCGTGGCGCCTCAGTCGCCAGCTTGCTGCTCAGTGCCGTGGCCCCCGCAGGCGGCGCTACAACGTCGAGGGCAGCTTCCTGCCGCAGCGCGCCGAGATCGTGAACTACTTCGCCCAGGCTGGCGCCGCTGGAGGCTTGGAGGCGGTCCCGATCGACTTCGAGACGTATCGCCAGCAGTGCTTGGAGGAGCTTCCAAGGGCCCCGATGTTTGCGCACGACCACCTGGAGTTGGCGCTTGAGGACTTCGAGAATCTGCTGGACGTGATCTCGAAGTGGTCGCGTCGCAGGGCTGCCCCTCCTCATAGTGTACCGACGGAAGTTCTACGGATTGCCCTAGAACCCTGGAGACGATATGATGCTAAGTCTCGACGCAAACGACCACGACGGCCTGAGGACGCCGACGAGGAGGGGGATGAACCTCCTCGCAGGCCGCGCTCAGAGCTTCTACCCCGACATCGGCTTGCAGGTGATCGTCGCGGCCTCGGCACGGACGGCGAGGAAATCGACGCGCCCATCGCAGAGCGGGCTCTGAAGACCATCCTCGCGCATGTGAGACGGGTCAAGCGTGCGCCGCTGATCTGGCACCACTCGGTCACCACGGGTTTAGACAAGCACAACGGGAAGACCGAGTTCAGCTCCAAGCGCTTCATCCACGGCCTCTGCAGGGTTGGCACGGCCTGGTACAAGGCTCAGCTTCAGCAGGCCCCACCTGACGAGCCTCCACCGCGAGAGCATGGCTACCAGCGTGGTCGCAATCGGGGAGGTGCGCTCCTCTGCCGGGAGGGTCTCCTCGGCCGCCTACGCAGACTCGGGATGCCGATGCTCACGACGAAGGAGGACATGAGCAACGCCTTCGGCTCTTCCAGCCGCGCGGCGCTCCCTCAGACGGTCGAGGTGGCGGTTCGCCCCGACGAGCAGGTCTACTTCCACCAGCGGCACGAGCTCAGCACTTTCCGCGTCCTCGGGGCTGACGGCGATCAGGATCTTCACAATCGCTGCGGCGCCTTCATGGGCGACGCGCCCGCAGCGCTCTTCTTCGCTAGGACTTTTCGCGAGCCTATTGCTGAATGGTTGCGACGCCTGCGAGCTGCCAGCTGGGCCACCTAGGAGATGCCCGCCCACCCGACCACCTCCGAGGAGTGGAAGCGGTATCCTCTCCTTCCTCCTGCTCCTCGCGCTGACATCGACACGACGATCTGGCCAAGTGAGGCC